GCTCTCATTACCAGGCAGAATGTTAAGGCTCACATATTTAACAGCTGCCTTGAATAATTGGGATCAGTTACCACCAGCACCATGCCTACAAATCCCCTTTATTTGACACCAAGATACGCTTGATGTGTTGTTAATTACCAACCCAGACCATTTCAAAAGAGCAAGCTTTTCACTTAACCCCGGTGGGGGTGGGGGCTCTAGGAGCAGGAGACTTGATCTCACCCCATTCCCACCATGATCCAGACCTCCAAGCATCATAGTAACTACCTTGCACAAATGCAGAACACAGCATATTTTACATGATCTGACCATGAGATTTCTTAATTCAGCCACAGCCAAAACCAGCAGCAAAAATTGATGTTCTTATCCTCCCCCAATTTTTTCTAAGCTCTTGATCCTAAGAACTATCCTTGGACTATCATGAAGCCAACAAACAGCATTCTGGTCTCAAGAGAGGGATCTGGCTTTCTGTGTTCTTTTACCAAAATACCATCTGAATCTTCTCCCGAGGGAATGGTGGAGGTGCAGATCAGCCTGATCTGTTAGGTGTTTATACCAGAATCACTACTTCAGTGAATAGCACTAACATCCACCCACCTGCCTTAGTCAGAATCCAGCGGACCGACCTTGACTTATTCATGTCCCTTATTTCCTATGTCATGTCAACCAACAAGTTTTGATGATTTTATCGTAGTCATTTCCCTTCATCTGCATTGCCACTGTGCTGCTGCTTCAAGCATTTATCAATCTTCTCTTCAACTATCACAATAGCCTTCCAACTGGTCTCTTTGCCTCTTGTTCCAATGTCCCTAATCCATTTCACTTATGGACTTGAGAATAATCTCTCTAAACAAACTCCCCCCAAACCCTGATAATATAACATATATATATCAGTTCAAAATTGTGCAATGATTATTATCTACATGGAGTAAAATAAAAATTCCTTGGCATGACCTAAAGCTAACTCAGGATCTAATCTCTGCCTATGTGCTTCACCTCATCTCCTACAAAGACCATTCTACACATACACTGTATAATTCAGTAATAATGAAATACCATTATCCCTCTGCATGAAATTTCTTGCAATGGTCCGTTCTTGCTTCCCTTTCTCTTTTACTTTTTGATAAACTAATATTCAATCTTTTAATCTATAGCTGAAGCATTTCCACCTCTATGAAGTCTTCCTGATTTCTCTAGGCTGACTTAGGTATTTCTTCCCCTTTGTTCCTCCTGTTTCTTGTATTATAAAGATCTCCATCATCATCTTCCTCTCTCTCTCTCTCCTTTTTATATGTCTGTCTCCTATGGTATTCTGTGTACCATAATGTCAGGACAGTGTTTTCTCATCTTTTACAGTGTCTGACACACATAGGATACTAATAAATAGTAAATATTGATGTTATCATTTGTTAGTTTAATAGATATTTATTGAATACTTGCTGTGTACAGACACTTTATATGCACTCTCACATTTTTGCAAAGTAGGTATCATCATCATTTTATAGATGAGGAAACCTGTTCAGAGAGGTTAAGAGACTCGTGTAAAGCCAAACAACTAGTATATGCAGTACCATACACATTTGCAAGTTCACACCAAAACAAGTACACAGTATATTTTACTAGAATTGGAGCATCATAAAACCTTAATCCTACATGTCCTTGACTTGACCTTTTTATGCCAGATATGTGATTCTCCCATCTCTAGATTTTTTAACTGCTTTATTGAGATATAATTCATATACCATACAATTTACCTATTTAAAGTGCATGATTCAATGGTTTTTAGTAAATTTGCATATACTATACAGATGCAATAACCACCACAATCTAATTATAGAAAAATTTTGTCACACAACCCAAAAACCCACTACCCATTGCATAGCTCTAGATTGTTAAAGAGCAGTTATCCAGGTGCTAGTGGTTTAGGAAGATTTTCACTTTTGATGACTAACCATCCATCTTATCTCTTTCCTGTAATGATTTTCTAGAGATAGTCTATATTATACTTTAAGGTTGAGAAATGACCCTACAGTATTTTTTTTAAATTGGGCCTGGCCCAATAAAACTGGATCCTGGTTCTGTGAATATCAGAATAACACTTTGCTTCAAAACATGCTGACAGACTGGCGGGTTCTAGGGCAGCAGTTTTCAAACTTGCTTGCACATTACAATCACATGGGGACCTTCAAAAAGTAGTGATATCTATGTCCCATTCACAGGGATTGTGCTTAAATTGGCCTGGGGTGTGGTCTAGGTCTCAGAATTTTTAAAAAGTCTCTGAGTGATTCTAAAGTGCAACCAAGTTTGAGAACATTGTTCTAGGGAAAATGCCAGTGTTTTCCAGGCTGACCAAAAAAGCAGCAGCTACTTCTCTTTGGCTTGATCATCTTTCCTTAGCCTTTTCATATGTGCTTCTAATTTGTCACCTTTGGCTGTCCTCATGTTTGCTCATTTGCAAAGCATGTTTAAGATTTTTGGGTGGGCTCAGCGCCTGTGGCTCAAGTGGCTAAGGCGCCAGCCACATACCCCTAAGGTGGCAGGTTCGAATCCCCAGCCTGGGCCCGCCAAACAACAATGACGGCTGCAACCAAAAAATGGCCAGGCGTTGTGGCGGGCGCCTGT